ATCTATGGTCGCTATATTCTCAAGACGTTGAAATCTTAACTCCCAGACCGAACGGTTACCATACTGGACGGCCACGCAGAGATGTCGAGTTCGAATCCCGGGCCGGGAGAAATATTTGCATGGCCTACATATATTTCTTTCGTGACTTTAGGTGTAATTTGTGGTTGTCTACTGTGTGTCCATTACACCAGCGATACAGAGTTTTCCTAGTGCGGGCAATGAATGTGTGCGTTATTATTATGAATACTGTCACTAAAAAAAGTCAACTTTCAGGAAATGAAACCAGTTTAAATTTGAAAACAAAAAGCGAGATTTTTGTTTAGCAAAGCTATTAAAGGTTATTTGAGGTACTCTTATACTCATCATAATATATAAAGTCGAGAACTGAGTTTTAACAACCTACATTTCCGTGTTATTGTTAGTTGGAACGGAGATTCTATCATCATAATGTAATAAATAACATATTCAATGCAAATAAAGATTATTATAATGATAAAATATATCATATAATAATAGTAAACACTTACTTAGCATCTCCCGATGAGTTGGGCGGTCGTGGAGGCACAAACGCGTCCACTACTACTTGCTCTGTGCCTTTGATCTCCGCGCGACAGAACGGACAGCCTTGTCCTTCAGAGTCCTGAAATATAAAAATATGATAAAGTACTATATTCTAGATTACGGACAAACGCGCTATACGACAATACATACAAGTGCGGGTGGCGGCTCCCCGGGCCCTTTCCTCAGTCTTGCAACGCAATGTTGTTGTTCATTCAATTCAAACGCGATACAAACGAGCTTTGTATCGCGTTTGAATTGATTTCTTCCGCAATTTGTAAAGTGTTTTGTAGACGCATTCGAATAGATACAAATGCAACAATCAGATTTTTTAACCTCTACGACGCGGTAAACGCGCATCGTCTGCATACCGTGTGCAAAAGCTTTATATACAACTATCGTTAATCCTTGTTCAGTTGTCATTTCTTTATGATAAAAAAAGTATATTGGAAATGCTGTTTTTAATTTTAATACTTTGGTCATTTTCTTTAGTTTCAGATGGGTTTACCATTAATAATCTAACATAGGTCACGACAGTAGTAGAAAGCATAGTGTGTATATACTTACAATCTGCCACGCAGTGAGACACGGTGTACATAATAAATGCCCACAGGGTTCTATTCTGATATCCTTGTCGTTCTCTGCGCAAATCTTACATAATTGGAAGGTGCTTCCTGCAATTTGAAACAATGAATTTAATTCAAAAACAATTCTGTTTACGTAGACGTATTGAGTGTCTGTGTTAGGATTGTTAGCAAATAATTGAAAGTTTGTGTATTTTTCCCGTATGCAAACTTTCTTGAGTTTTTTGTGCCCACATACTCAAAAGTTTCAGAACTATTAAAACCATTTAAAATATCGGGTGGGCTAGTGGCAGTGGCAGTGGCATTGCATCGCATGAGTCCAGCTAATATAAAATATAAAATACACAGCGTAATACTGCATATTTTTAATGGAAGTGGAAAAAAAGCGAGATCCTTACGAAAAGTTCTTAGCAATATTCACAATTTGCTCATTGCTTTCAAAAAAATACAGGTCCCTAACATCTGTATATTGGTCACGAACATTTAGCACGTGTCAGCTTATCTTTTCATTTTCAACATATAGCCCATCAGATCATCAACAGTCACACGGTCTACCTGACAGTGTTATCTATCGTCGATGTGAGGTTGTGGGATAAAAGACTCTAAGTCTCCTGAAACTGCGCAGATTTTCCCTAAACAACAATAGTGTTTTGTTGTAGAAATACGGAGGTGTTACCAATTTAGGCCGGTTGCGTATATTTAGAACAATTTTAGATTTTGAGTTCAAAAAAATTCAAAAAATTAATACTGACCCATTTCACAATAGAGCTCATACTGTTCTTGTGTTACGGTGATGTGGTCTTCCGCGGGAGAGATAATCGCGCTGCTCAAGTCGGGGTTCACGTCGCGACCATCCGGGTATAAGTAGCTGGAATAAATAGTTCATAACTACATTTGTCTTAACACTTATTGCGTAGTCACACGAGCAACATTTCGACTGTACCTGCAAAATTTATGTCGGAAAGAAGTTTGCGTGGAGTCGGGGCGATTGCATCACAACTGAAGATTCTTTGTTAATTTTGTGTTCTTCTTATTCTTAGGTTTTCGTTCTCGCGTTTTTTTTTTAAATATTTTTTCGGATCTAAATTTCAGCAAAGCATTTCAACCCGCGTCAAAGAACATATAGCTGTCAAGCATCGTCTCGTAAAAAATCTTTAGTCAGTGAAGTTGTCATGGCTAAACCTACACGTTTAATAAGTTTAATAAACCTCGCGTCCTTGCAAAAGAAGTGCATTTTCTATTCAGAATGCTGAGAGAGCCATTGTAATTAAAAAACATTCTAATTTGAACAGGTGAGATGGTTTCTCCATACTACTATACTATAGGATCCATTATTTCGTCTGATGAAAAATCCCAAGCAGATATAAGACTGCCGTACTACTCATTATGTTTTATTTTATTTCTAATTTTCTTTTAATATTAAATTTAATTGGTAAAAAAATCATATTGTTAAAATATTAGCAAAACTTATCTAGCAGAAACTGGAATGTGCTTTGGTAAATTAAAAATGAGGTATTTAAATTAACATCTTTTGTCCATAGTTCGAAATAGGCATTAATATTAGAGATAACTGAATAATGACTTTACCATCTCAGTTAGCCGTGACCATGGAATCTGTAAAGGATCCGAAAAGAAGGATTGTTTGAAAAAAAAGCTTATATACGCGGTTCAGATCCGAGAAATCTTTATGGACTAAGAAAGCACTGTCAGCGAAGTCTATGTATTTCATATTTAGTACCATCCATTTGACATGTTTATTTTGGTATAAATTTGGATTTTATTTCTTTTATTAAACTGAATATCAGGTATCGACTGTGAACTGGCAATCGGTCCTATCTCAATTTTGACAACTTAACAGTATGAAGAAAGAAATTGTTTGCGTCATTTATGTAGCATCTGGTCTATTAAATAAAAATACGTAGTTTTTAGATATTTTTATTACACATGTATGTATGTACACTACGTATTTTTATTTGATAAACCAGATGTTATATAAATTATTTTTTCTTCATCGTGTACAGTTGTCAAAATTGGGATAGTACCGGTTGCTCGTTCACAGTCGATATGTTTTTTTCTTTTTTGAAAGAAAGATAACAAAAACAACTTTAGATATATATAACTTACAATCCTTCTCTGTATCCGTCGAGCAGTGCCTGCACCAAGCTCTTGTTTTGCGGTATGGTCTGCAGGATCTCTCCGTCGGCCGTCACGTAGCCTATCGCCCACTGGCCTAGTCGCGTGCACGATAGCCTGTAACAAATAAACAATAATTAGGCGGAAAAGACTATTCCGAATCGCAGCTGTCTTTTACATATATATTTTTTTTTTCAAGTTCTTCACAGAGGTTCCTTAATGGACGAGTATGTATGAAAGCACTAATGCGCGTTGATGAGGCCAAGGATGCGTAACAGGTATCCCGATGGGAAAATGAGCGTGACATGTGTATGTATTGTCTGTTTGTCAAAAATGTTATTTTTACCTTACCTTATTATGGAAGGTTAGAATGATGAAGCACTAATATAAATATACTCTATTGTAACACGGGGTTTTAAGTATGTACTAAAGTCAATTCATACAAATTAACTTTAGTACACACTTAAAAATGTAGATGGCGACACGAATTTAAAAAATATATAAAGTATTAAGTTCCGACAATTTGAGGTATCTCTCATAGGGTTGTATTCTAGAACTCTACTCAATGCTCAAGTCAGGATTTGAGTATGGTTTAAAGCACTCGAAATCATACTTAAGTTGCTGCCATTAGGGTCGTATTTCCAGTGCTTGAAACCATACTCAGATCCTGACTTGAGCATTGAGTAGAGTTCTGGAATACGGCCCTTAGGGTCGTATTCCAGAACTCTACTCAATGCTCAAGTCAGGACTTGAGTATTGCAGTGAGCACTGAAAATCATACTCAAGTCCTTGCCATTAGGGTCGTATTTCCAGTGCTTCAAATCGTACTCAAGTCTGCTCAAATCCTGACTTGAGCATTGAGTACAGTTCTGGAATACGACCCTAAGACTATTTCTTTTATTTTTTTCCATCCTCTAAGGTTATACGAAATAAGAAGTATAAAATCTAAAAAAGAAATGCAAAACTGTTTAAACAACATTTTAGTAACGTTCAACTGAAATTCATTTACGAGTATGGTAATTGGTGAAAACAGTAAACTGTGTAGAAAAGATAACAAATCGAAGATTACTCAATTTTGATTTGTTAGTTTAAAATATTAAAAGTACAAACATAGCTTCTTTGCAATTTTGTTATATTATTATATTATTGCCTGAACTAGAGCAATAATCTTGACAAAAATATATCTCCCATCTGCTGGCCTTTTCGAATATCATTACAATCGCATCGCGGGTTTACTTCGTTCATCTATTGATCAGCGTTAAGAATCAAAATGAGCTTCCGATTGAGCAAAATTACGAGTGCGATATATCTTTGTATGTTTTATATGTATAACAGTATAGTATTATCTATGACTGTATAATGAACAAATACGTATGTTCGTAAGTAGTTGTTACAAGCCAATATAACACCATCCAAGATATCAATTAGTCTGTACCTGATTTCCCTGTTACCTAAAAAGGTGCCCGCTGGTTTTATAGCGATCGTAAAGTGTTTTATCACATTGAGTTACATGTGTACAACGGATCAAGAGCAGCGCGTAAAACGTTATATGACTTTCTTTTATTGCTACGTCTAGTGTTGCATAATGTAATGAGATTTTTTATTTTCTCTTTATTTATTTAGGTATCTTTATACAATTTTATACCTCGACAAATATCAAAGTAGAGACAACTCTCATAATCTAATCCGGATTAGGAGACGTACTAAACAAAATAGTTAGTCGACTAAGCGTGGAAGATGAAAGACAGTCCGGTGTGTACCCCGCCTTTCTGGCACAATGTTGCCATTTAAACCACTGATATTTATTAAACTTTTGGCAGAAGATTATTAGTAGCAGTAGAGCTCGTTGTGAAAGAGTTTATCCAGAGAAGTACTGCCTTATCTATTTTTCACTTTTCCATAGAGAGATCCACTGATAATAAATGTAGTAGTACTAGGGATAATATGGTGAAGAATGCTACGGTGCAGGTCGCCAAAAGATATAGCCCTGATAAGTTGAGGTATTATTTTATTGTTATTGTATCAAACCAACCTGAATACGTAGCTTCCAGCCTTGTGTATGTATTTCTGTAGCCGTGCTTTAACCTCGTCGTAGGTGAGGAAGGCGACGTAGCCTGGATGTGTCACGGCCAGCAGTTGCCAGTTGCGGAGCAGGGTGCTCCACGGTTGGAATAACCTGAAAAAAATATTTTAATGTTGTTACTTAGGTACCCGATTGCAAGCCTTTTTTATTTATTGTTATACTTTAAAACCACTAAAACAAAACATTACAATACAATTTAAGTATACCGCTCATTCGACGTTTCGATGTGTAGTGAGCGTGTTCGCACTGCTGCGTGTTGAATTTCTTCGTAGTGTGCGTGAGAGTTGTTAATAAAGGGTGTATAATCCCTTTGGAGGGATTTATTACTTTCCAAATCAACCAGTCAGGTAAATTCGTTTTCAATGGAGAGAAGTACGACAGGGCTTTAGGTAAAGATAGTATTAAAATATTGAAGTTCAAGGCAGGACTGTGGTAGGAGAAGTGCTGACGAAAATAGCCAGCCTAAGCACGAGAGACGAAAGACAACCCCGTGACGTGTTGTCTTGGAAGGATTTTGATAGAAAACTTCTCCTATCAAATCCACAATATCAGATACCACAAGACTCAATCCAGTGTCGGCTTCACCTATGGTGCAGCGTATGCGGCGCACACGGGCACGGGGTCTCAGGGGGCGCCGAGCGCAGCTCTCGTCGCCTCCAAAGAGCCTTGGTCAGGCTCCGTCATTCGCTCGAGGTTACGCGATAAGTGCCTACCGCTGAGTGTATCGCCAACAGTGCAAGCGCGTAGACAAGTCTTTCATTTACATTACAATCCTTGTACAACCACAGCATTCCGTTCCGCACGACTGCACACGACGAGCAACGTTATTTTCACCTCTCTGAGCGCGTGCATAGGTTCCTTTTTCCTCGTAGTGAGCGCCTGGTGCCACTAGTCAGATTTAGTAGACCATTATAGTGTAGGTATTTTCGATTTTACATGACAGTGGCGTGGTGGCGTATCTGTTACATAGTAACTATTAATTAAGTAAACCGTGCCTTCAGCGCTTACGGCACGAGTGGGCTATTGCAGTACTGTTCCAACATCATTTATAATTACGCCATTTGCTCCCGAATTTCCGATCACTGGGGAAAATATAATTGTAAGTATTCCACTTTGATCGCTTGCCTACTAGAGGGCGCCAGGGTATTACACCCGGGTGCTACATGGACTAGCGCCGGCCTTCACTTAACATTCCTTATTATTATCACAAACTCTTACAAAATGAACGAATAGACGTAACGTACCCATTGAATTAGAAGAAAATATAGTAAGGGCGGTAAATAAGAAATCAGTATCAAAAGTTTGTTTTCGGCTGAGGGCTTTAATGACTCGATGTTTGTAATTTTTACCATTCATACTACATAGAATGTTTTTCATCACATTTGCGAGGAAATAGATAACAACAACAATTTATTTCTTGTATGAATAAATATTGCTTCACACAACAATAACGGATTTTGCAAAAGGCGGGTTTTTGTTTTTTTTTTTAAACAGGTTACCAGCTATTCTTCCATAGATAATACGACTCGAACTAAAATGTTATTAAGGGCACAGACGCATGTATGAGATATAAAATGAATAATTTCCAATTTCTAAACATAATGCAGAATTTGAATCACAAAATAAATTTAGTAAAATATATTTAATTTGCAAATGTTTGTTTTTTTTTATACGTCAAGTGTATGTGAAATGTAAGTTCAGATTTTTCGAGCATAAAAACTTTTTGCTTAATCTGGATGTCAAAAAATCCATAGGGCGATAAAATACATTACACATCGAGCTTCCCAAAAAGACGATCATCTAATTTCGGGTTTGTGGCGCGTCGTCTCTGTCACTCGTATCTGTGTGACTTTTTATCATTAATTTGTCCGCCGTGTGACGGAAAACGGCGCTCTACAAATCCGAAGGTTTAGCCGATCGTAGCCGAAAGTGTTTTTCTAAAGCTCGACGTGTAATATTTATAAATAAATAAATAACGCACACACTCAACATAGCCCCGCACTAGGGAAACCCTGTGTCGCGGGTGCCATGGACACACACATAGACACCACAAATTACACCCAAACTCACGAGAGAAATAATTGTAGGCCATACAACTATTTCTCCCGGCCCGGGAATCGAACCTGGGACCTCTGCGTGGCAGTCCGGCATGGTAACCGTTCGGCCACAGAGGCATTTATGACCTAGCATTTTATATTACAACATGAAATTCCGAATCAAATTATGTAGTACTAACTTTATTTTTAAATTTTGCCTTTGTTGGACAAGAAATCGTTAAAACCTTATTGAGATATTGAAGCTTGTACAAAGTGATATCTTGAAGAAAATGGATACACTTCAGATGGTGCATATTCAGATTGTGGTAGCAGTAGATCTCCTTGTGAAAGAGTTCGTTCAGGGAAGTACCACCATCTCACCTTTTCTTGCCGCCAGGCAGCAGTGAGAGCATTACTGCATTCCGGTTTTGAAGGGTAAGGGCGCTGGTGCTATACCAGGCACATGGAATTTGTCAATTTATGGCTCAGGGCGACGGGCGCAGTGGCAGTGCCCCTCAGATCTTGTGATTTAGAGCTCTGTGTGGCACTGGAATTATTACACGGACAGGCGTGTCGCACCAGGACCACGACTTATCCGTCCCGTCATTTGGTATGTTAAAAGAAAAAAGATGGCTTACGTTTGATAAAATATCTTTTACTACAAAAAGACAAAACTTGCGCCTCTGTAATGGAGGATCTTCGTTTACTGACTGTAGAGCAACGCATTAGTAAGCGCGATGATGCGCGTGTGTAATAAAGCGTGGTGTAATTTTTGAGAGCCAATTGACAGCATGGGATGACTTATCTTTTGTCTTTATGCTCCTGCTAAGCGTGGTACATTGCGATAACATATCATCTCTCTCACTAAATGAGGTATTTGACATCTTTATCGTAACATCAAGTGACGGGACGGACAAGTCGTGGACCTGGTAACACGCCTATCCGTAACAGTTGCAGTGCCACTAAAAGTTTTAAATCGCAATGTTACCCTGAGACAAATTTTGACAAGTCCCAGAAAATAATTTATGAAATTTTGTTTTTATTTACATTATTGTAGTTGGCACGGAAGAAACAAAAGACGTTTAATGTAGTTTCAGATAGACGGGACTATTAAGAGACTGAGAAGACTACTATCGTTCTCCAATCGTTACAGATTATACTAAGTTTCAGTCTACAGTGTTGCCGTGTTGGTTTGACTTAAATTGTAAAAATTCCCGATACTGAAAACATTAGTTTCGAGTCACGAAAATGCCAGAAAATTCTCGAGAATATCGACATTTACGGGATCGAAATTTCTGGAATTAAAGTCCTTAGAAGTACGTCAGTAGATATTGAGGAAACGACAGAACCTGCGCTTTAAACCTCAAACCCTTTTGAACATGTAGAGAAAAATCCAATTTCACAAGAAATGGCTTGTGTTAATAAATTCGTTGAAACACGCTGAAAAAAATTTCGATGATTGGAATTCATTGTAATTCGACGACTCTTTATTACGTTTATACTTCTCGTTTGCGAATTACGTAACAACTCGGGCGAAATATTGACTTACCAAAAAAAATAACACATTGACAACGTCAATTATCACAAAACACGTCAGGTTACTTAGAGGATGGATAAAAAACAGTCTAAGTCAGGTTATCATTTTAAATAGGAAAATCACAGTACAAAAATTTCTCGTATCACTTTTTTGTTATTGTGATCGTTACGGCGATGGTGCCCGCACGGGCGAGGGCGGGGTAATATTAGACGAAGAGGGAGGGGAATCGAAGCACATAGATATTTTGATACATAATGAAAGGGATCGTGAAACTTACCTAGTAAAAACGTCAAACTCAAAGTTGGATATGAAGTCGTTACACGTGAGGTCGATGGTGGTTTTAAGCGCCATCGTCTCGAGCCCTGAAGATATCGGATGCACATTGTTGAGTTCTTCGCGGAAAATCTTCCAGGGGACCAGGGTGCTGGAAATGAAAAAAAAAAATGTTATTGAGTTTTCGAAGGAATGACGTAAAGAAATTTTCCTCTATTCCATTCCAACAAACTAAGTTGATTTGCTCTCTCGTCAGTGTACAAATTCATTCGATAGCAAACTCAAAATTAATTATCTGTAGGTACCAACATCAGAACTAGTCGTTAAGGCTCAAACTGAAGTTACGCAAGACTTCCATAATACATTCTAGAAGATTTCTCGAACATATTGGGATGGCTCTGCTACATACCAACTGGCCACCTTGGATTCAATTGACAAGCGTGCCACTTGGCTTATAGGCGACTCGGAATTAGCAGAGGCGAAGCTGCAGAGCCTTGAACACCGCCGTAAAGTTGCCTGCTTATCGCTATTGTACAGGATATCTGCGAGAGTGTGCGATGCAATTACACGATTTAATTCCGCCTTCCCCTTTCCATCACCGGGAGACTTGACGTAGGTTTGGATTCCACCTCTATGTTAAGGATATGGAATATAGAGGTGGAAATAGCGTTACGCTTTCACATTAACATGGCGAACGGCTAAAGGCTGGAATTCCCTGCCTGCAGACTTGTTCCCTGAACGTTATAACTTGCACCTTTTCAAGGCAAGAGTGAATAGGCATTATTTAGATGTGCATGCTCCATCGTCGACCTCACCGTCAATTTTTTCAACTTAAATGGAGGTCAAATGCGTACTCACATTTTTATTAAAAAAAAATCTTCTGAAATCAACTGAATCGACAACATAATAATAGTAAGAGCGATTACACATGGCGACTTTTAGCGACGATAACGCGCTTTTGTGAAACATGCGTATCTGAAACGCGCGATTACAATCGATGCAGTCGATGCAACCGCCGCACCAATACAAACACCAGCACAACCGATTTAACACAGCAGCACGTTTTTGAATCATTAAAAACGTGCGGCTGTATCGATGCAAAAGCGTTGCTGTAGGGCTAGCACGATAAGGCGCAACTTGCGCGAAACGAATTCGCCAGGAGCGTCGCGGCTCGTGGCTCTCAGGTTAGAGATGTCGCGCCTTATGTCGCTGTCGCGCCTTATGTCGCTCTCGCACAAGTCGTAGCCTGTCGTGCTAGTTCTACAGAATCGATGCTTACGCACGTTTGTTTCTACGTAGGCAGGTGAATCTTCAGTACTTGTAAAAAAGTGTCGCGGCTGTGTCGCGTGTGAATCAAAAGTGAATCACGTTTACACCGCAATTGCATCGCTTTTTAAGTCGCGCGTGTGTATAAAGGTTCTAATTTGTTTCATTATAAAGCAATCAGTCCCATTAAGGATTAACAAAAACCACCATAAAGGCAGTACTTTGATCAAAAACAATTTCATAAAGCGAAAATCGATGAGGTTCGGGCGATGTCGTAAAATGCTAATTGGCTTTCGGTGCGTGCATATTTTGCAATTATCGGTATTAATTCTCAATAGGGGAAGGTCGGTATATACCTACATGATTGCCTGTACAAATTATAGACTACAGGACGCATGCTCGCAATTAAAAATATGTGGCATAACCTTGAATTTATCTTAGTCTTCAGTGAGCTTTACGCATAGAATCATAAACTATTGAAAAAATTTGTTATATTCCAATATTCATTACGTCTGTCTTTACTAATGGTGGCTTTTAGTACATAATTTTTGTGTGGGATACAAGGTAGTGCAAAGTATATGTATGTATTTATAATTCATAATTATGGTATCTATAATTTTTGACTAAAAATGACAAACAATGAGAAACTAAATAAACACGAAGAAATATCTTTGAGAAAACGATTTGGTTTGTGACTTTTTTGAGATTGACTTTTATTTTATTTTATTTTATTTTATTTTATTTTATTTTATTTTATTTGGGATAACAACAGCCATAATACAATTTTAACCTTACCATACATTTAATACTTTTTGGACAGGGCAATTACAGTTATCCACTAAAATAATTACTGATAATAAACGTATAATATATATCTATTTATATACGTATAATATATATCTTATTATATTATTATTAATGTTAAGAATATAAACAAATATAAGGATGAACAAAGTAAAATGAAATATAAATATTCCTGTATCTGTTAAAAGAAAAACAATACGAGATAGTGAGAGAAAAAAAAACATTAAAAAAAGATAAATAATACTTGAATATCAATATATAATTAATACCCACAAGCATACTAATAATAAAATAATACATACATGCGTACGTAACATGAAACATATATTGTATATACACACACAACACTATTATATACTAAATATAGAGCTGTATAACGTCATACCACCATTTTGTAAAACTACAAAGTTTAACCATATTGTGCAAATGACCAAATGATATCTGAAGTACAGCTGACCAACCGTTTAATAGTCGTTTGTTTTAAAGCAGTGTTTAGAACCTACAAAAGGGTAAATATATCCAAACTGGTTGTTATACGTTCGAAAAATACTCGTGAGAACAGTATTTTTGCCGTAATTTGTGGAGTGGAAGGGACATTTGACAAGTTTGGATTCGTCTCAGATACAAACATGTGACACAGCATTTCTAGTGGTGGCATTTTGTTGTTTCAATTGGTTTTATAAATAACAAAACATAATATGTTTAGGTATATTTATCAAGATTAAATAATCACTTCATAAACTGTTCATAGTAAAGCCAAGACAAAGATACAAAGATCAAACGACAGTTTTGTAGTGGAAGAAGTGTAAGATGTCGTGTAACACGATTATATTACAAAAATTCAAATATCGAAAAATGTTTTGATTGAAAATATTCTAATAGAAAATGTGTTAATTGGAAATGAATTATATGAAAATGCGAAAACGTAATTTCTATCTGTCAGTTATCTATCCGTGTTCCACTGTGGCCATCCCCTGCGACAGCTGGCGTAAAATAACAAATTGAATTTCAAATTTGTCAATTGGATACTTTATTTAGCAATGATTTCGTCGTATTTCCGTTTTAACATTTGAAAAATCTTTACGTCGTGGATGATTTTCAATTTAATCTAATTGCCGTTAAATTTACCAAGCGACTTCTCAATGTTCAAAGCAAATTATGGAATTGTGTAAAATTCACCATTTTCCTGCTTTTCATATTTTCAAAGCTAATCAGTGACATAAAAAAAATTCTCGCTCATGATACAATTTTACTTGTTAGGTGTCAAACATAGTAAACCAACATGGTATTAATCAATATTAAAACTTCGTACTCCGATTTGTGTCAACCAGAAACAGAAAATGGGACATCGCGCTTGAAGTGTTTTACCTTTAAGCCACGAAGGTCTTCAAAATTCTGAGGTTGCGACCTCGAACACATTGATATCTTCACTTTGTCCAATCTTGGTGGTTTGCACGGTATACTTGGTCCTCTTTCAACGGATTGCTCCCTTTAGCAGTTTTAACCTCCATTTGATTTAATTGTGAAAATTGTTTGTTGGAAATTGGCTACGACTGAATCTCATTTGAATCGCGTTAACGCGCGTCATCAGCGCGTCCTCTACGAGTATAAAATGCACCGTGTGCATAGGCCCTTAGCATTGTAACTGTGTTGCCGAGTACATAACTTTTTTTGTTAAAAAAATGTTGTACAGCCTATTATGAAATTCATAAGCATAAGTTCACACGTAATTAACAAAGCTAAGTAACAAAGGCCGAAGTTATATCAAAGACAATTACAATGTAAATCCTCTAATCCATTGTTCTGATTCTTGCCTAACCCGCTGTCGCTGTTCCACTGATATGGCAATGTATTGTGTGGACAGCTTTATTATTCTCTATTTTGTGGCTTGGAAAATAGCGATTAGGATTTAGACACTTGATTTGGAAGATTTGTCAACTTGTCTCAAGGTGATGGGCAATGCCAATTTAAAACTCTAAGCGGCACTTAAGACAGTTAATTCCTTTATTGTTTTTCCATTTTCTAAGGAGCAGCACTACAATTTGTGACGATGCGACGTCTTTCAACCGTCATCCCATCTTTTTATAACCCTTTTCTCTGGTTCCTGGCCACTTACTTTTGAAATTTTTTAAATCCTTCTCTAATTCTATTTTTTCGTCATTCTTAATCGTCATTTCTGTCAAAATTCTCCAAGAGAAGACGTGTCCTTCAATCATGTAAAATCATAGATATAGAAAAAAGGGGAGATATGGTATGGGGGCGTGGTTCGCCACGGTGACATGGCGATCGTTGTACATGCAAGATCTCTCGTAAAACGTGAAAATGCCAAGTTGTAGCGATACACCTTGTAAAAATTGGAGTGAAAACAAAAATTTTAAAACCAGTGAGATAACATTCCGCCGGCTATTTGCATTTTTAGTTACTATTTCTATTATTATTCAATGTTTCCTTTTTGTCTCCATAGAAAATTCTAGACTGAAATATTATTCCTGAAATGTTTCAATTTCTTACTATGATTTTTGTAATTAAAGTCCCTAAAATATCGAAGCGAAAAGCATTCACGTTAAATTGATTTCTTTTATTTTATTATTATTATTATTACTAAACATTTTATTTCGAGCAACTTTAACACAACTCATATTTTGGACAACCGTTTCAATTTCATGTCAATTTGGATGTTGCTGTAGCTTGAAGAAAAATTTATGTGTTTTAGATATTTAAGATATTTAAATTCCATTATAATCGTAGATTAAACGTAGAGTATTTTTAATTTTTAAGTTTTTCCAATGAGTTTAAAATAAAAGAAAGTTGGATTAAAGCTGCAGGAAAATCGAAAGATTGGTTTTCTTATTACTATTTCTGACTTTGTTTCAATTTCTATAGCAAATGCATTTAAAAAATAAATAAAATAAAATCGGCTTTATTTTACATGTGCATGCAAAATAAATTAGAAATAATTATAGAAAATGACATAAATCCTTCATAAAAAAACAACATAATTTATAATCTATTAAATTCGTTAATGGTTCGTGTTTACTCTTGACAGTGACAGCTTCAGCAACCCGTGGTTACGTATAATGG